CTGGACCCCTCCCACAGACGACTCAGTTCCCTCCAGGCTCCTCGGTGGCCTCACTCTATCAATCATCTCTTCTCCTGCATCTTCAGTCTTTTCTTCTCCACTGGCTTCTTTCCCTCTGCTTAAAATCATCATCCTAAAAATCTCGAAATGCCTTCCCTCCACCCTACTGTCAGCTCAACAAAAGGTTTATAGTTGGAAGGATCCTTAGAGATCATTATAATATTACAACAATCCTCTAATTGGTTTCCCTGCCTTGAGTCTCTCTCCATTCCAATATATTCTACACAGTGCTGCCAAAGTAATTTTCCTCAAATGCAGATCTGACCATGATTCCCTACTCAACTAATTCCACTAGCTTCCTATTGCCTCTACAACAGGAGTTTCTAGTCTGGATAGGTTTCATAGGGGAGGGGAGGTTCATAAATTTGGGTGAGGAAAAATGCATCTTCATTTCAATAGAACTTATTTCCTTGTAATCTCATATGTTTTATTTTATGCATTTAAAACATTATTCTGAGAAGGGGTCTGTAAGTTTCACCAGACTGCCAATGCGGTCCTGGACACAAAAAGGGCTAAGAATCCCCCCTCTAAAATAAAGTATAACCTCTTCTGTTTAGCTTTTAAAGCCCTATCGTTCCAACCTCATTTGACATCATTCCCTCCCTTTTCCCACACCCAAAAACATTGTGATCCAGCCAAACTGGCCTTCTCTAGGTAAGGGACAGAGGTCCCACATACATGATACCCCATCTCACATCCCTGTACCTTCACATGAGCCACCTCACAAGCCTAGAATGCACTCCTTCTCACCTAAGGGAGTCCCTCTCTTCCTTTAACACTCAGCTTGGGGCAGCTAAGTGGCACAGTGGATAGAGCACCGGCCCTGAAGTCAGGAGGACCTATGTTCAAATCCAGTCTCAGACCAAACACTTGACACTTACTAGCTGTGTGACCCTGGGCAAGTCACTTAACCCCAATTGCCTTTTAAAAAAAAACACAGCTTAAAAACCATCTTCTACATGAAGCCTTTCCCCAACTGCTAGTGTGCTTCCTCCCAAACTACCTTGAATTTGACTACTTTGTGCATGTATGTGTGTGTGTATAACACACATTTGTATGTACATATCTTTATATTTATATATTTAATTTTATATTTCATTACACTTATATGCATTTATATTTTATATTGCCATACAATATATAATATACATGTAATTATATATGTATGAATATAATGCTGTCAAATTCCATTGGTATGGGACTCTCTCCTGGAGAAGAAAGCCCTATCAGGCATGAGGGGCAGGGCAGAGTTAGTGAAAGGCAAGAGAGCTCAAACTTTCAGTAGTCCCTTTAGAGTCTCCCTTTGGGGTGACCTTTGGGTGCTTCTGGCTTCCAGATTCAAAAGAGAAGACGAAAGAGACCAATCTCACTTCAGATAACTGATGGAAAAGACTCTGGGAAGACAAAACAGAAGAGGAGTGGACAGTCCATCATATCCCTATTTCCAATTTGCTACTCTAGAGACTTTAGGAGGTTTTCCCCTGGGTGAGATACAGGACTCTTAGATGAGTTGAGTTATTTCCTTCCCAATGGGAGAGTTCTTTTGCTCTATATTGTATGGCATATATTATCCTATGTATATCATACGTATATATTTATATGTTTACATATATATGTCTATATGTATCCTCTGATTTCTGTTTTGCTATCATTTGGATAAATGGGCTTCTTTTGCTATTCTCCATGTGTCTTCATTGTGGAACTGGTATAAGATTGGGAAGGGGTTAAGCCTTGGATATAAAGCTTAGGGTCGCTCCTCCCCTCCACAAAAAAATGACAAAACAAACAAAAGTTAGTTTGAACTTGATCATATACCATACACTAGAAATATTTAAGGGAGCAGATGTAATTCTAGCCTTGTACCCACCTCTTTCTCTGAGAAGAGTAGAGAGGTCTCAGACTTAACTTCCTGCCTTCTTCTCCTGGCAGAAATGAAAGTCTTCTTTGGAGAATGATAGGAGAGGAAGAGGTTAGAGATGTCTATTCTGCCTCTCATTAAGCCACACGCAAGGTCCCACCACATGTGGACCCTCTCTACCAACACCTAGCACCATGCCTGACACATAGTAGGAGCTCCATAAATATTTGTCAGTTGATTAATGGTATTCATTCCCCTCATTTTTCCCAATGAGGAAAATTGTTGCATCCCACTCCCTCTTCTCATGGCCACACTTATTGTAGAGTCAACTATACTTTATACCTCCATTTCTATAGCACCCACTTATTTCTCAGATTTCAAACTAGCTTCAAGACCTACCACATTTGATTAAAAATGCTCTCTCCAAGTTCCTTCATAACCCCATTAGAGATAAAGCCAATGGCTATAATTTTTCATTCCTAGTCCTTCTTGATCTTTCTGTAGCATTTGACATAGCTGACCAACTTCTTTCTCCTGGGTGTGATTTCCTCCCTCAGCTTCTTTCTTGATTCTCTAAGCTCTCTAATCATTATTTCTCTGTTTCTACTTATTCCCTAAATGTGAGCATTCCCCAAGTCTTAGTCCTTGGTTCCTTTTCCTTCTCCATCTTCACACTTTCTTGGTGAGCTTATGCATTCCCATGGTCATCTTTATGCAGATGGCTCCATAATGTAATCTGCAGCCCTAACCCTTGACTGAGTTTCCAGTTTCTGCTTTCTTCTTCTCCTGAATGTCCATCCTCAAACTCCATACATTGTTAGAAGGCAAGCTCTTCAATTTGGAACTATGCCCAAAGGGCATACCTTTTGTGCATACCCTTTGATTCAGCAATACTACTACTAGGTCTGTATCCAAAAGAGACCAAAGGAAAAGGGAAAAGAATCTATTGGCACAAAAATATTTATAGCAGCTCTTTTTGTGGCAGCTAAGAATTGGAAATTGAGGGATGCCCATCCATCAGAGAATGGCTGAACAAATTGTGGTATGTAATTATATTGGGATATTATTGTGCTATAAGAAATGACAAGCAGGATAGTTTCAGAAAAAAAGCTAAAAGACTCACATGAACTGGTACAAAGTGAACTGAGCAGAACCAGAACACTGTACATAGTAACAGCAATATTGGACAATGAAGAGCTGTGAATGACTTAGCCATTCTCAGCAACATAATGATCCAAAGACTCGAAGAAAAATGACATTTGCCTCCAGAGAAAGAACTGATATTGCTGAATACAGACTGAAGCATACTATTTTTCTCACTCTTTCTTTTTGTTTGAGTTTTCTTGCACAAAATGACTAATATGGAAATGTTTCGCACGATTGCACACGTAGAACCTTTATCAGATTACTTACTGTCTCAGGGAAGGGAGGAGGGGGTTAGAATTTGGAACTCAAAATTTTTAAAAAAAAAGAATGTTAAAAATTTTTTTCACATGTAATTGGGGGAAAAATACTATTTAAAACAAAAAAGAAGGTAAGCTTTTTGAGGGCAGGGGCTCTCTCTTTCTGCTAGGATTTGTGTTCCCAGGGTGTAGTACAGTGGCTAACAGTAAGTGTTTAATAAATACTTGATACATCCAGGGCCAAGCTAATCTTTCCTCCCAAACCTATTACTTTTCCTCCCAACTTCCCTTTTTCAGTGGTATCACCATCCTTTTAGTCATTCGACTTCGAAACCTGAGTATTATCTATGATTCCTCCCTCACCTCTTACAACCAATCACTTGCTAAGGTCCGTGGATTTTACTTCCATTATACCTCTCCCTCACATCCTCTCCTCACCCTCTCTCCTTTACTTCAAGCTCAAATCATGGCTCCTTTTAATTATTACAAGAGCTTGCTGAGTCACCTCTCTGACTTAAGTCTTCCCTCAGATCCCCCCTCCACCTAGGGAAAGAGACAGGGACTCAGTGGGTTGGACTGAATGGCCTCTGAGCTCCCCTCCAGCTCTACACCTTGTTTGCTTGTTGCTGTTCCTCCTTCCTTCTTTTCTTGCTCTTAGGGGGTTTTTTGTTTGTTTGTTTGTTTGTTTTGGTGAGGCAATCAGGCTTGAGTGACTTGCCCAGGGGTCACACAGCTAGTGTCAAGTGTCTGAGGTCAGACACTCGGCTCCTTCTGACTCCAAGGCCAAGACTCTATCCGCTGCACCACCTAGCTGCTTTCATTCCTGAAGAGGACCAGTCTAGAAGCCTGTAAATGGACCTATGAGTCTACTTAGCTCCAGGCACTAACTGCTGGCTGAAGCCATTCCCTCTACCTATGCAGGTTGGCACCCTTTCAGAAAATTCAAGTCTTAGAGAGTTACTAGAGCGCTAAGAGGTTTAGTGACTTTCTCAGGGTAACACAGCTAGTATGGGTCAGAGGTAGAACTGGGCTCCAGTCTTTCTGGATTCAAGGCCAAATCCCCATCTCCTATGCATACTGCCAGATGAGTCTTCCTATCACTCTCCTCATCACTTTCCATTGCCATAAAGACTAAGTTTGAGCTGTCGTTTAAGTCTCCCATGACCTATCTTCAACTTGTTCCATGATTTCTGGACCCCCACCCCAGACTCATGCCTGCCTCTGTGACTTTTCTAAGGACTCTCTTCATACCTGCCATGGTCTTCTTCTCTAATGCCTTTCTAAATCCTACCTGTCTGTCCCCTATAAATCCACTCCATTTAGCCTTTGTTTGAGAGGGATCATCCACCCTTCAGTCACACCTATGTGCTTTTCTTATGTGTCTCCCCTCCTCCATTTCCTATTTACCTATTCCCTACCTGTGGAATAAGGAGTATAATCTGCCCCAATCAGATAATACCTAGAACATTATGTTGAATTCTAGGTCACCATAATTTGGAAGGTTTGTTCCGCTTCTAAAACTCTGATTCCATGAGTCTCCTCTCCAGAGTGGCTGATCACAGAAGGCTAGGTAAAGATGTATTGACTTGAATCTGACCCCTTCCCACCCACTGCCAGTTCCCCTCAAAAAAAAAAATTCTTCAGAAGCCTATTTAAGAAAATAGTTTTTAATCGTTAAAGTCAGTTTTATACTCCCACCTCCCTCAGAGGAAGCCCACCACCACGATGGACCTCAGCCCCCAAATGAGTCATCACCTGGACTCTCCCTCCTGGAACGGGCCCCCTGGAAACCAGGGCCTAGGGTAGGGATGACTTGGGGGTTCAGCACAACCTCCCCAGGCCGGGCCCCTCCTGGTTTCCCTTTCAGCTGGAGGAGATCCTGGTAATCCCGCACCATAGCCCTCAAGGGTTCCAGCTGTGGTAAGACATACTCCTCCAACCACTCATCCACAGTATTAGAGTAGAACACAACACCCAAGTGCATCTGTAGGGTCGGCAGCAGGCTCTCCCAGGCCTCGGACACCCTGAGGGAAGGAAATGAGGATGTCCACGGGTCACCCTCCCCCCACCAGCCTCCAGAAGTGAGTTCTCCCTCACCGACCAGACAACATCTTCAGACTTGCCACTCCTCTCTGAAAAACCTGAGAGGTCAGCCTCAGCATCCTAGAGCCCTCCCATCCCTTCCCCACACACACTACTCACTTGGTCAATTTTCGGCCAAAGGCCTCCAGATTCTGTGGATTCCCAAACCGATTTTTACGATGGTAAGGGCTAAACCAGCCCTGAGCTGTGCTAGGGGTACACAATGGCAGAAGGGGGTACTTCAGCAACTGGCCATACGTCCCCTGCCCTCCCATTTTGCATGTACTAAGAGGAGAATGGGGAGTTGGGGGACAGCCCCTCTGGTTCTTCTCAAAGTCCTCTTCCCAAGGGTCCTCAGGAATGAGGCATCAGGAGCTGCTCTCTCAAGTGTAAAACAGATGGGGGGTGATCAGAGGGGGTGGGTGTAAGAGATACCTGTCCTCCTCCAGAGCCTTCAGCCCAGTCTCCTTCAGATCCTTGACTTGTTCCACCAGGTGATAGACCTCAGCCCCAGGAAACATACCATCTCCTTGGCTGTGGATAAGAAGGGAAGAGGATCAAGCAGGGCCTGGATGGGAAAGGGGGTAGTCTTTGGCCAGACTTCAGACTGACATGCTAAACTGGACCTCCCTATCCCCTTCCAACTTCCTTCTTCCCTGATCCCTGCCCACAGAGCCCTGGCTTCCCCAAGCCTGCCCCAGGCTTCCACCAGGCAGTGATCTCCAGGCTGGCATGGAGAGCCCCTCCTAGAGCCCTAACTAGGGACCCCACACCCTAGTCTGGCCCATGACCTCCCCACCAGGTGCTGGACTCCAGGTTGATAGTCTGAAACCCCAGTAGCTCCATGACTGTCTTCTTGGTCACCTCTGTGAATTCTCCTAGTGGAAGGAAAGGGGAAAAAAAAACAGGTGATCTAGATGAGCCGCCCTGTCCCAAACCAGAGGGGTTAGAATTTAATTCAGTGCATGACTTATAGACAAGTTCCTTCTCCTGTCTTGGAAAGTCACTATGAATAGCATCTGTCTGATTGTCTAAGAATAGTAACCAAAGTCCATATTATGCACAGAAAGAGGGAAACCACACCTTCTTGGGCATTGTCTCCCCTCTCCCTGGCTGCCCAAGGTGATGGTTAATACCAGCCTCAGTTTCCTTTCCTGTAAAATTGGAATAATTATATGTATACTATCAACCTCACAGGGTTTTTATGAGTAAACTGTTCCATAAACCTTATAGCACTACAGACATATGAGTTATGATAGTTATGACTAAATCCTCAGGGCTACTAGTGTCTTTCCATACCTGTTAAGGAACTGGTAGAAAACCAGCTACTGGGGGGGGGATGGAAGGGGAAAGAGGAAGAGGTAGGGAAGGGAGGTCTAAAGTCCCAGCTGGTGTCCAGGCCTCCTCTCCCAAAACTTTTCCAAGTGGTCCTAGGCCTCTCATTCACAACACACAGAAGGGAGCAAGATGAGAAAGTCCCTAAATTCCCTTCAAGCCCAACATCTTGGGAATGACCATCCTGGAGCAAAAGCCATACCAGCAACTAGGGTCTGCAGACAGATGGCCAAGGAAGGAATAGCCACAGGAAGCAGCTCACACAGCACGGAATAGTGGTCATACCTGAAGATAGAGACCCAGAGATATGTCTAAGACTCTCCATTAGAATACAAGTTCCTTGAGGGCAGGGACTCTGCTTTCTGCTGTTCTTTGTAGCCTCAGCACAGTGCCTGACCCATTGTAGTAGGTGCTTCATAAAAGCTTGTTGACTGCCCCTGATTCCCATTCTCAGTCCATGCCACTCCATTCAGTCCCTAGCCTAAGCCTTCACCTCTGCCAACCAGTCAGAACAATGCCCAGGCAGCGGATAGAGGGGGCATCCCGAACGTGGGGGCCAGCAGACACAGCCTGCATGGCTCGGAGCACACGGAGCCACGACAATTGGTTGCTCAGGTGATGGCTAAGAGGGGTCCACATCTGGGCTGGGCCTGTGGAGCCTTTGAAGGAGCTGGCAAACCACACACCTCGGAAGCCACTTTCTGCATATTTAGCAATGATCCGTCCTGGGGGTGGGGGTGGGGAGAACACAAGGAGTATAAGAACCTAGAAAGCAGGAGTAGGGATAGTAGAAGGATTCAGCTATCAAGGGATCTGGGGAGGGTCCACTCATCCAGGGGCCAGGGATCAAGAGGAGTATCCAACCCACCCCTACATTTACTATCTCAAGTTGTCCTAGTCCAGGGGAAGGGAGGGCAGTAAAGCTAATCACCGGGTCAGCCCTGGCCCACCTAACAACCAGGGCATCAGGGGATGTGACTCCAGTTCTGATAGGTCATATGCTCACCAATCTGGTCAGTGTCCAAGTCAGGGTCATAGAACCACATCATAGGGTCTGCAAGCTGAGGGATCCCCGATTCTAGGAGGACGGACATAAAAGACTAGTAAGAAGGTGTTAAGGAGTCCAACCCCAAGGCAAGGACAAAGCATGACAAAGATTCCTCCATATCTGGGTCCTGTCTCTCCATCCCCACCAGTCCAAGCTGTCTTTGGGTTTGAGAGGACCTTCCATAGCCAATCCTTGGGCATGGAAAGGCCTTAGAGGAGTCCTGGGGTTGGGGAGGGGAGAGTGTCCCAGAGCTGAGGAACAAATTCTAATGAAGGAATGTCAGGGTCTGTAGGATGGGAATATCCCAGGATGCCAGAGGCCCAGAATCCAGAGAATGAATACCAACTAGACAAAGGCAAAGTCTCTGGGATGAGGGGACCCTAGGATTCCAGAGTTGAGAGACAATTGCCAATGAGGGAAGAAGAGAGGGAAGAAGATGATCTTTAGGATGGAAGCATCCCAGGATACTAAGGTTTGAGAACAAATGCCAATGAGGGTAAGTCAGGACCTCTAAAATGTGGGTTTCCAGGATCCCGGGGTTAGGGGTACTCCTAACATTGGGGGGCAAGGAGGGGTCCCAGGGTTGGGGGATGAGTGTCAGTGAGAGAAGGTCAAGTTCTTTGGGATCAGGGGACTCCAGAGCTCTAGAGTTGTAGGAAGAATACCAATGATGGAATGATCAGTGTCTCCCTGTTGGGAAGGGGGATACCAGGGTCCCAGAGTTGGTAGCATTCCTAGCATCCTCCAACCCTGGAAGGTTGGGACATGAATGCCAATGAGGGAAGGTCAGGGTCTCTGGGATGGGGGGGCACCCAGGCCCTCAACCCCGAGTCGAGGGATGAATGCCAATGATAGAATGTCAGGATTTCTAGAAATTGGGGGATCCCAGGGTTGGGGTCCCCCTGCCTCGGACGGCCTGGGGTGGGAGTCTTCGAAGCACATCATCCCAAAGTAGCAGTCGAAGCCCTGGGTGGCGCCAGCTCAGGAAGGTCACGACCTCTCGAACATGGTTCAAGTACATGTGACCAACATCTTCCCCATGGCGGAGTAGCCAGGCACGGGAGTCTGCACCCTCACCCAGGTGGAACACCTGAACCGAAAGGGCAGATGGACCAGCTCAGGCAAGACCTCCAAAGCCTGGTCCTCATCTCTCCGTCTCCCTTCCCATCTCTAACCTCATCAGCTCCCACATGTAGCCAGCGGGTGTGTGGATGCTGATCTAGGACCTGGCCCAGGAGGGCCCGGAGCAGTGGCATTGCCCCAGCCGCATGGGGATTCAGGGTGCTGGGATAACGATCAACCTCCCGCAGAGGCCAGAACTTCTCATGCTTCAGCACAAACTGGAACGAGAAACACCAAGATGAAGGGGGGGAGTGGGGGACAGGATTAGGAAAGCTAAGAATTTAGGAGGCAATAACCAGTTTCCCATGGGAAGGAAACATGTCATCATATTTGATCAGCATAGCATCTGCCCCAAGCCAGGACAGAAGTGGAAATAGGGGAACAGGGTGAAGGGGGACAGGTCAGTGGGATATGGGCTCTTCCCTTTGCCCTCCTGGGATCATCCCCCAACCTTGAAAAGTCACTGGCCCCTGGGATCCCCAGATCAGGATTAAGATTGGAAGATCCTAGTCAAAGGTCAAGGGTTATGGGCCAGGATGAGGGTTAATTGCTGGATTCTGAGGTCATGTTAATAGCCCATGAGATGGACTGGGGCAGGGGTCACGTACCTCAAAGTGGCCAAATGTCTGCACCAGAGGAATCACCTCCAGGTGGTTCTGTGCTGCCAATTGCTGGATCCGCTCAATGTCGTGCTTACTGAGAATACCAGGGTCCTTATCAGGCCCCCACTAGCTGCACTGTTATGCACCCCATTCCCTGCCACTCTTACTCGTGCTCCCTCCAGCTCACGGTCAGCCTTCTCTATTAAACCCCACAGATTCCTCCCTCTATCAGACCCTACAGGTCTGACCTGCTTCCCCTATCAGATGCTGAGGAACCCCAAATCCCTGGGTGACCTCCCTTGTTGAACTCCACAGTTGTAATACATCCCCCCAATCTAATTCGGCTCCCATAGACTGATCCCATTCCCTATTAGGCTCCTCTCTCAGATCCTAAGGCCCTCCTAAACCCACAGCCCCACTCCTCCATCAGTTCCCACAAACCCAACCCCCTTCCCACCTGTAGGAGTGGGATGAACGTAACAATTCAAGTTCCCCATGGAAAGGGAACATGTCCTCATATTCGATCAGCACAGCATCTGCCCCGAGTCGGGACAGAAGTGGAAACAGCTTGGGGGGAGCAGAGTGAGGGGCAACAGGTCAGAGGGACTTGGATTCTTCCCTTTGCCCTCCTAGGATCATCCCTCCACCCTAAAAAAAATCATTGCCCCTCCCCCTTCAGTACAGCCCCTTCCCAGATCCCTTCCCTCATCAGTGGTGGCTTCTCAGCCATCCTAATCAACTGTCTCACCTGTTCCAGATAAGATACCCTGGGAGCAGCTCCCTTCATGTCCAGGTGGACAACCTTCATCACTCCTGTTTCATCTCTTCGAGGAACCTCCCCAGTCAACCTCTGGGACCAAGACCCCAGAGTACTCTCCCCAACTGGTTCAGGAGATGGCTGGCCACCCCCTGTTTCACCCCAGGACCTGCCTGATGTTGGCTCCAGGCTGAGAAAGTGAAAGATAAAAAAATTAGAGATCATTGATCTGCCAACAACAAACAAGGGGATGGGTAGGTGAGGTCCAATGAGCACACACGCACACACATCTTTCCCTTTTCCTACCTTATGCCTAGGAAAGCACCTGCCCCGATCCAGGGGCTCCAGCTTATGGCCTGGTAATGATGTATTTTTGTACATTCAAAGATACCATGTACCTCTATAGCATATGAACAATTCTCCTCCCCCACCCCCAAGCTCCCCACCCCTCATGCAGCAGCCCTAGCCCCTCACCACCGGGGCAGAAGCAGTCTGAGGCCGGCACAAGCACAGAGGAGCAAGGAGGCCACTTGCAGAAGCAATTTCTGGTTCCTTTGCAACATCCTGGGGGGTGTAGTCACTCCTGGGGTAAAATGGGAGGGGGGTCAATGGGTCAAGCCCGGGTCTGGGAAAGGGAAGAATTGTCATCCCTGTGGGGTATTGAGGGGATGTTAGGTCTCAGTGGATGGATGGGAGAGTCGATGGGGTGGGGAGTGGGAGGCTTAGGAAGGGGAGGGGGAGGGGAGAGCATAGCCTGGCTTCACAGCCTCCCCATCCCCAGGCAGCCCTAGGCTGGAGCAGAAGGGAAGGAGTCTCGGGTGAAAGCTGGCGAAGAGAGAAGGGAGAATTGATGGTCTAGACCCGGATCTTGGGGGCGCAGAGGCGGGGCGCCCCCGCGAGTCCCGCTCCCGCCTCCCAGCCCCAGCCCGCGCCCGGCCCGCCCAGGTCCCCCAGCACCTGGCTGAGCTGCTCTCCTCCCGGCCCCGTTAGGCGCCGCGGGGTTCCGACGCCTCCAGGCCCCGCCCGCACCGCTGCCCCCCCAACCCCTCCGGGCGGTCGCCGAACCGACCCCCGCTCCCCGGTGCGGGCGGGCAGGTGGGGAGCGCACCGAGATCCCCAGGCTGCGGCTAGCGGGCCGGGACGGCCTCAAGCCCCACCCGACGCTGTGATTGGATGCGAACAGCCGCGGCAAGCTCCGCCTGCTGCCGGAGGATGACAGCTCGGGAGGAGGAAAGGATGTAGAGGGATGCGGTGGGGGGCTGGGGGTGTCTCCCGAACCCACCCCCACCCAGGAGCGAATCGCCATAGCCAATTCTAAAAGCCCCACTGGGACCCCGTTCCTTTTCCTTTCCACCCCCAGACCCCGCTACAGCAGTACAGGCTTATGGGGCCAACCAACCTCCATTCCGAAGAGAACGTGTGGATCTCCGCCCACCCTTTCCCCGAACATCTGGGACCCACAGGGACTCCCATTCTTCCACATCTGACATGTCCTTCAAGCTTACCTTCCACCATCCTATCTCCTCCATTACTCTCCCCAGAACTTTCCCCGTCTATATCCTCTGGTCTTCTCATTCCTGTCTGCGATCGGTGGGTACTAAGCCTCCCCAGGCTTGCTCCACCTTCTCTGCGCCTGCTCTAGCCCCCTTCTACTGTGCCCTGTGGAACCCCTGTTCTACTGTGAGCAAGCTCCTCTCCATCCCCCACCTTTTTCACAAGCATTCCTTCCAGCTGCCCGCCTTAACAAGAACCTGGCTTTTTCCCTGACAACACCGATTCCCTCCCTGACAATTCTCTCCAATGGAGACTGCTTCTTCTCTCACTCCCTGTGAATGACAAGGTCAGAAGGAGGAGTCAGCATGCTTCTTGCTCACCACCATTTATTTACTTCTCCTGGACCATCAACCTGCCACTATCATTCAAAAACCTTTTCTTCCTTGAAATGCATGCCATTCTTTTTATAACACTTTCTGTCCATCTTAGCAATCATCTACTCACCTTCAGGATCCTCTCTTTCACTTCTTCAGGGGCTTTAGTACCTGACCCACTGTTTTGTCTTTCCATTAAATCATCCTCAGTGACTTCAATATGTATATTAATGGCCCTTATAAAGTCCAGATCCCAGAATTCTTCAATGCACTCAGCTCTCTTGACCTCCACTTCAACCACCCACATCTCAGACAACAGTATCGCAGGAAACTCTATCACCTCCCTGATTCTGAACTAAAATACTCCTTTTTCTTACAATTTTTTTGGGTGAGGTAATCAGAGTTAAGTGACTTGCCCAGGGTCACATAGCTGGTAAATGTCAAGTGTCTGAAGCCAAATTTGAACTCAGGTCTTCCTGACTCCAGGGCCTATGCTCTATCCACTGCATCACTTAGCTGCCCCATTTTTCATTCAATTTTTTTATCTTCCTACTTTTCCTACTTCTCCTGCATCTGCTTTTTGACCTCATCATGACTTCTAGCCCTTTGACCTTTCCCTTTTTTCCAAGTGCAGCATCCATTATTGCTTTTCCTACCTTTCTACCCAACTCTGGTGAAACATGTTGTAGTGGATAAGGAGTTGACTTTGAATCCAGGGTAGACCTGGGTTCAAATTCCACCTCTGAGTGTGTAACCTTTCAGTGCCCTAGGCAACTTTTTAAGATTAAAAGTTGCATAAAAGGTATCAACCTGCATTGCTAGGGGACTTCCTCACCCAGAAGTTGCCTAGACCAATGAAATCACAGGTCCCACCCTTAGCCTAGCCAGCCTGTACTCTATGGTCAGCCATTGCAACAATGGCTTCCTAATGCCTCTAAGAAAAAATATAAACTTTTGCTTGGCTTCTAAAGCCTTTCAAACCTGGCTCCAACCCATCCTTCTAGCCTTATCAGATATGACTCACTTTGCTGAACTTGGAACTGGCACTAACCCTAACCCTCATCCTCAGAGTACCTTCCTCTTTACCTTTGCCCTGTAGAGTCCCTCTCTTTCTTCAAGATACAACATAAGCCCCACCTTTTACATGAAGCCTTTTCTGATTCTCCCACATCCACATGCCTTCCTTTAGAAGAAGTGCTAAATCTTACCCAAGCAACAAACTCCCTGAAAATTAGAATGGACCAAATGGAAGCCAATGACTCCATGAGGCAACCAGAAATATTGAAGTCAAAAGGCTCAGGGAGAAAAAGGAAGAAAATGTAAGGTATCTCATAGCAGAAACAACTGACCTGGAAAACAAATCAAGGAGGAAAAAAAAAATTAAAATCACTGGACTCCACAAAAGCCAAGATCAAAACAAGAACCTAGACATCCTATCTCAAAATCTTGAAAGAAAACTGCCTAGATGTCTTAGAAACATAGAGCAAAGGGGAAATTGAAAGAATCCACTGATCACCTCCTGAAAGAATCCCCAAAATGAAAATTACCAGGAATATTGTAGGCCAAATATAGAGCTTCCAGGTCAAAGAAAAAATACTGTAAGCAGCCAGAAAGAAAGAATTCAAGTACAGAATCACAGATGATTTAGCAGCAAGCACTATAAAGGAACCAAGGGTTTGGAATATGATATTGCAGAAGGCAAAGGATATGGCCTTACAATCAAGAATAACTTACCCAAGAAAACTGAGTATAATGCTGGGCCAGGGGGAGGGAAGGAAGAGAGGGACCTTTAAATGAAATAGAGAATCCAAACATTCCTGATGAAAAGGCTTGTGTTGTAGAGAAATTTTGAAGTTCAAACACAGGAATGAAGAGCAACATAAAGAGGTAAACATGAGTGAATGATGGTAAACAAGGATAAACTAAGACGTTCAAATATAGGAAGATGATATATGTGTTCCCTTCTCAACCCTATTATCATCAGGGTCCATGGAGGGTCCAATTAGACAAGGCCTGGGAGTGGTTCTGTTATGTTTTGATGATCTTAAGAAAAGAATGGAAAGAACAGGGGAGAGGAACACACTCTGGGAGAAAGGAAAGGAAGGTTAAGGAAAATTATCTTACATAATGAGGGTGCACAAGTAGACATCTATACAAATAAAGAAGAGGCAGTGAGTGGAATGTCTGACATTTGAACCTCACTCTCATCACTACTGGTCAAAAACAGGAAGAACTCATGCAGTTGGGTACAGAAATGTATTTCACTCAACAGGGAAATAGGAGGGAAAGGGGAAAAGGGGAAGGGAAGATTTAGAAGGAGGACAGATTAAGGAAGGGATTAGTCCTAAGCAAAACAAACTCTAAGGGTAGTCAAAAATATTTATAGCTCTCTTTGAAATGGTAAAGACTGGGGATCTGAGAGGATGCCCACAAATTGAAGAACTGATGCACAAGTTATGGTATATGAATGTGATGGAATACTATTATGCTGGACTCTTCTCTGGGCTCAGTAACCAAACAGGATTCTGGAGAACTTTTAAGGAAATATGCTACCCATCTCCTGATAGAGAGGTGAAGAATGAAGAATACAGAGTAAAACAAATCTTTTTGGACACAGCAAATGCAGAAATTAATTTTGATTAACTATATGTGTTTGTAATGGGCTTTGGTTTTTTGTATTCTCAATTGAAGGTAAGGGGTTGGGTGAAAAGGTGAGAAGGCAGAGCTTAGTTAATGAAAACAAATATTTAAAAGGTAAAAAAAAATTTTTTAATCCTATTGCCTTCCTTACCAAATTAAACTGCACCATAGTTATTTTCTTTATATTTATCTCTACATACTTACATGTAATTAATATATATATATATTATGTGCATGTATATACATATACATATGTGTATGAGTGTTTGTACGTGTGTTTGTGTGTGTGTGTGTGTATCAGTGAGGTGGTGTAGTGGATAGAATTCTGGATCTGGGAGTCAGGAAGACAACTTTCCTAAGTTAAAATCTGGCCTCAAACAGTTACTAGCTTTCTGACCCTGGGCAAATTACTTAATCCTGTTTGCCTCAGTTTCCTCATCTGTAAAATGAGCTAGAGAAGGAAATGGCAAACCATTCCAGTATCTTTGCCAAGAAAACCTCAAATAAGGTCAGGATAATCAGACATTACTGAAAAAATGACTGAACAACAACAACAACACACACACACACACACACACAACATAAATGAATGAAGCATTTCTTAAGCACATACTATGTGCTAAACACCGAGAATACAAATAGAGGAGTAAGACAGTCCTTGTTCTTGAGGACCTCACATTCTAACATGAGAAACAACACATACAGAAGTTTTCAGATGCAAGTAGAATGGAAGGTCCCATGATCCTTAAGGTACAGTGGCAAACAGACAGTAATACCTCTTTTTTAATGTTATTTCCACTGATTAAACCCTCTAAGTTTCTCATGTTAAACCATTCAACTTCTTTTTTCTTCCTGGGCCCTGGATAGCTGTAGCTGTAGCCCCTGTAGGAACAGTTGCCAGGCTCCATCTCCACAGGGTCATGGTCCTTCCCAGGATCATGGCTTGTAGGCACCAGACTGGAAGCATCACTATTCCAAAGGCCTTTGGATTGTCTCCATCAGTGTCTAGCTTGCCTGCCCTGTCTGTGTATGGAAATTGGTCGGCAGTTGATGGGGATAGTTGGCCCCTTCTCCTCATGAGTTTCTGTGATGGCTGTGAGGGCTGGACTAGAAGTAGGAGATAGTGGATGCTTACTAATGGAGTACTGAGCGCACAGTGGCTAAAGTCCTGGGCTTGGATTAAGGAAGATCTGAGTTCGAATCTGATTCAAACACTTACTAGCTGTGTGACCCTGGCCAAGTTGCTTAACCCTGTTTGCCTCAATTTCCTCATATGCAAAATGAGCTGGAGAAGGAAATGGCAGACTACTCTTGTATCTTTGCCAAGAAATGGAACACAAAGAGTCAGACATGACTAGAAATGACAAACAATGGAATACCATAATACTTTCATTTTGATCTTTGAATCTCTTGCCCTCTTGACTTTCCTGCCCTGAAAATTCCCAGTGTGCTGTAATTTCTGGGCTTTCTCATTTGCCTTCTCCACTGCTGCTCTTGGGTTCATGGGTTCTATATAGTTCATTCTATCTAGACTTTAGGACCTTCACTGCTGTATGATAATCCTTTTATTTATTTGGAGATAAGACAGTGTTGCACAGAGTGGATAGACATCTGGACTTGGAGTCAGAAAGATATTGATTCAAATCCTATACTTATTAGATGTATGACATGATGTGTGATCTTCATTTAACATCTATGAGCCTCAGTTTCCACTCTGTAAAATGAAGGAGTCAGACTTAATGGATTCTAAGGTCACTCCCGCTCTAAATCTATGACTCTATGACTTCCCATCACATTC